AGAACCCCTAGAGGGCCAAGGTGGGTGCAGAGCACAGGGGAGGTGCACACATACACATGTGGTCAGGTAGGATAGGGAAAGTAGCTTTTGAAGCACCTTCTGTCAAGGACTCCTGCTCGCTTTTGGAGAACAGCTTATGTCCTGAGAGAAGTATATCAGACAAAGTCCAACTGGCCGTACATGTGACTTTTCATCTCTTTGAAGAATATGAGGTGGCGTGTGGGACCAGTTCAACCAGGATGCTCTCTTCCTGGGTTAGTCTTAAGGGACTGATATGGGAGTATCTATGAACTTGGCTCCTAAGGACACATGGAGGGTCTCTCAGTGGAGCACCCCTCAAGTGAAACACCCGCACCTGGAGGACCCCTCACTTGAAACACTCTCAACTGGATCATCTTTTAATTGAAATGTAATTAACTGGAGTGTTCACATCTGCAGCATCCTCACCTGGAGGATTCCTCGTCTGGAACCCTCGATGGGAACACCTTTTTTTTTTTTTTTAAAGATTTATTTATTTATTATGTACACAGTGTTCAGCCTCCATGTATGCCCTCAGGCCCTAAGAGGGCACCAGATCTCACTACAGATGGTTGTGAGCCACCATGTGGTTGCTGGGAATCGAACTCAGGACCTCCGGAATAGCAGTCAGTGCTTTTAACCTCTGAGCCATCTCTCCAGCCCTCGATGGGAACACCTTTAAGCCAAAACACATTTAACTGGAGAACCTCTCACCTGCAGCACTCTCCGTGGGAGCACTCACTACCTGGAACCCTTCTGGCTTGGAGCACCCCTCTTTGGAGACATCCCTCATCTAAAACCACCCCCACCATCATTACCCTTACCTGGATGTCGGAGCACAGAGGAATGTCTCTTGTCTAGACTGCTGGGGTCCAGCTCTACAGTGATGGGGGACTCTGGGTCCAGGACTGCTGGCACATTTGGCTCAGAGACAGAGGGCTGAGGGAGCACCTCCCTGGGCCTAGAATGACAGCTCTACGCCTGCTCTAAGTCTTGTCACAGGAGCTCCTCAGGCATGTCCTTACGAGGCTCTCATGCTCCAGAAACACATGGCTGGGTCACATCCTCCTCAGGCTGTTCTCTTCACTGAACGCCTTCTGGGAAATGTGACTGGGTTCTAAGGAGGGATGTCTTGAATATTTTAGCACAGTACCGGTGGTGAGCAACCCCCTCAGGACAAAGTGAGTCATCCTGGAGCTAGATAGGAACTTTGTGCCCCTGATCTTCTGTACCCTCTTTTCCCACCTCTCCTTCCTTCACTTACCCTGTGCCCCTTTTCATTCTTCTTCCTTTCCCCACCTGTACCCCTGGGCCTCCTTTTCCTCCACCCTGTCCCTGCCCAGAGTCAGAGACTCGAGAGCACTGGAGAGAAGCAGGTGGACAGCTGTCCTCCGACTGCCCAGATGACAGGGTGAGGGCACCAAGGTTCTCTGGTGGCCTCTGCTCTGGCCTGGCCCGCCCCCTGTCAAGGCTGAGGATGACTCAGGGCTCAGCTGTCACCTCAGCAGCACGCGTCGCCTAGTGATGGCGGTCTCCCGGCAACGGTCGTCTCCTAGCAATGGGATATTTTCCCCTGGCCCTGGCTGGAGCCAGTGGCTATTTTTAGCTCAGCTTCAAATCAATCAGCAGCTGCATTTTGGGCTCCTCAGGAGATGCAAGGTGTTGCAGGGTGGTCTTCTCAGCAAATGAAAAAACACAGAGATAGAAACATTAATGCCTGCCCCCCTTGAAGTGCTAAGCTGAAGGTGGATGCCGTCAGACCTCATGGGAATGGGTGGGCACTCGAGACTGCTCGGGAGCTGGCAGCTATGATTACGTCCTGGATGATGACCGAATCACCCTGAAGCTGCCAAGGTCCAGCTGGGTACAGTAACCAAAGGGAGTGCTCACAGTAGGAGCCTCTGGTACTCTTTCCTGGGTCCCCGATATCCCCTGCTCATCAGTTGTTGGAACGAACTGTCTTCCGTATTCATCCGGCAGCCCCATCCGTGCTCAATTCTAGCCGTAAGGGTCTTGGTGCCACAGGTTTAGCTAGAGACAAAGAAAGCGTCTCTGGCCAGCTACATCTAGTCCCCACATGGCTTCAAGTGATATTTGAGATCTTTGAAGAGGGGAGCCTTGGGCAGGCGGGAGACTTATCGTCCTTTCTAGTTTTCCTCACAAGATCAGGAAGAAACCTAATTTTCTACACTCCCAGTAGCAGACCTACTGGGAGCTGATCCTACCATTTTTTTTTAAAATTTGTTTATTCTGTATACAATGTTTTGCCTGCATGTATGTCTGCAGGCCAGAAGATGGCACCAGATCTCATTACAGGTGGCTGTGAGCCACCATGTGGTTGCTGGGAATTGAACTCAGGACCTCTGGGAGAGCAGTCAGTGCTTTTTACTATTGAGTCATCTTTCCAGCCCAAACATGCCATCTTTCCCATTTATATTTTGTGGTTGTGTTTGTTTAAAGCCCCATGGTCCTGGGGCCATAGTCTCTCTAACCTGTCAATTCCCCTCACTTGAATTTCTTTCCCAAATGGCCTCCTTAGATGATGGCCCACTCACTGAGTCAACTGCATGTCTGACATCAGCTCTCCTGTTGGATGCTGGGGCTACCTGTCCTCTGCTCTGCTCAGGGTTCAGCACACTGTGGATATACCATCAATGTCCTCAACCTGCAAATGCCTGTGTTATGGGGACAGCTGTGGCTGGAGATGGGCAGCCTGAGCGGTGACAACTGAGTCCTCTGCTGCTACCCACTGCATCCCATGAGGTGCAGTACAAGGCCCTGGGGAAGCCAGGACAGGAAAAAGCTCTCAAGATGGTTTCCAGCTTGGACAACCCCTGTGATGGCTACTCTTGGTTGTCAACACGCATGGGAAGAGAGAACCTCTCAGAAACTGGCTGGCTCATGCCCCATATCACCATTAGAGGGCGCCTGCAGACTATTGTCTGCCTCAGAGACTTGGTCTGAGGAGACCGCCAAAGAACAACCAAAGTGCTTAGGCCTGGACATCCACGGTTGACCAGGTGTCCTGTGTCCTTCTGTAAATGCCTTGGCATCTGCTATACTTCCATCAGGCTGAGTGATATTTTTAAATATTTTATTATGATTTATTTTTTACTTGGGTGTATGTATGTGTGTGACCTTAATGCACAGGCATGCAAATGCTCATGCCTGTGGAGACAAGAGTCATCTAATCCCCTGAAGCTGGAGTTACATGCTGTTGTGATCCTCTCCATATGGGTGCTGGGAACACAACTCAGGTCTTCTGCAATTGAAGTAATGTGTTTTTAACTACTGAGCCATCTCTCCAGTCCATTTTATTTTAGTCTTGTTTGTTTTGAGACAGTGTTTTTTTTTGTTGCTTTGGAGCCTGTTCTGGAACTTGCTCTGTCGGTCAGACTGGCCTTGAACTCACAGAGATACCTCTGCCTCCCAAGTGCTGGGATTAAAGGCGTGCGCCACCACTGCCCGGCTCTTTAGTGTTTCTTACAGGACACATACACATCAAGAAGGCTCTGGTCAAGCCAGGCGGTGGTGGCGCATGCTTTTAATCCCAGCACTCGGGAGGCAGAGGCAGGCGGATCTCTGTGAGTTCGAGACCAGCCTGGTCTAGAAGAGCTAGTTCCAGGACAGGAACCAAAAGCTACGGAGAAACCCTGTTTTGAAAAAAAAAAAAGAAAAGAAGGCTCTGGTCACTTTCACCTTTGACTATTATACCCTCTTTTGACCCCCTTGTCCGGAGCAAGAAACCAGCTGTGCCACCTATTGGTCTGAGAGGGCCTTGGAGTCAAGGACAGGGTAGTTACTGTTTCCACGCCCTTCCAGAAGATGGCAGCAGGACTAACTGATCCCAACAATGAGAACACTGGGTCTCATCTGTCCCTGAGTCCAGGTCCTGGCCAACTGGAGGGTTTCAAAAGGAACCAGGAGGACAGAGGATACAGAGGTAGAGTCCTGGAGTAGGAAAAGAGATCCTCAGGGACTTCCAAGGCTTCCCTCTGATTTCAGTCCCCTCTACCCTTCCAAAGAAGCGCTTCTCTTTGGTGGTGGTGGTGGGGGGGGGGTTCAGATTGTGTCTGTTTTTGTTTGTTTTCTTTTCCTTCTAGGAGGGTCCCAGGTAGCCCAGACAGGACTACAACACACTAGGTACCTACAAGGATGACCTTGAATGTCTGCTCTCCTCCCTCTACATCCTGAGTGCTGCGATTAGAGGCATGACCCACTACAATCAGTTTAACATTATTATGAAGATCAAACCTAGGGTTTCATGCCTGAGTAATGAACACGGTATAACCTAGCCCTATCCCCAGGCCTCCCGGCTATCTTTGAGATTCTGTTTCAGCTGTTCTTGACTTTGGCAAGGGCAAGTAATTCCAGGCTTTGCTTCCAGTCTGTGAATCCCTAGGCAGGTCTCCACAGTGACAGAGTTTTTCATGGTATTTATTTAATGTGCAGGTGGGCCTGAAAAAAGTATAGTGCAGAAGGAGGCCCACCCAGCCCACGCTGCTCCTTCCATAGCTAGCCGGTGCTCTTCCTCTTCCCCAAATCCAAGGTTTGGCTTAGTTCCATCACGCAGGCCCTAGGCTAGTCAGGACCCTCTGCACCTTCCATTATGGGACGTAGGGACACAGGGGTTCTAATTCCTCTTCCCTGGAGTACCAGCAGGGTACCAGTGTTCAGATGTTGGCTGCAGACTCGACTCGCTCTCTCAGGAAGGGACAATCCTACTGACGTCCAGTGAAGGCCAAATGAATTGAGAAGCTTTCCAGATTCTAGTCGACAGCCACTCCCACCCACTCGCCAAAGGTTCCAGGGTACTGGGGATTGCCCAAAGGGGAGAGAGGAACGCTAAATACTCCATCCCAGCCCTGGACCGCGCTCCCGCCTTCAGTCCGCCCCGCCCCTACGAGGGCACTGCAATTGGCGGAAAGTTCTGGGGCTTGTGGCGATTGGTTCGAGAGCAAAGGCCCGCCCCTCTAGTCCGGGGAGCTCAAAGGGGTTTGCGCAGAGGGGTCGCCGGTTGTGGGGACGCGCCGGGCCTGGCGGCCGCACCGCGAGCTACTCGCGCTGCGGCCCCGACCCTCCCGGGGCAGCAGCCCGAGGTCCCGGCGCGTCCCCGAACCATGCCGGTAGCCGTGCTTCTCTGCGCGCTATGCTGCGGCCTCCTGGCCGTCTCTGCTCGTGCCGGTTACTCCGAGGACCGCTGCAGCTGGAGGGGCAGGTACGGTCCCCAGGAGGGATTGTGGGGAAGGGTTTTTTCATCTTGTATTGGGGGCCTCCCTCCCACTGGGAACTGAGGTGGCACAGACCTCAACGTCCTGTTCCACAGAGTGGACGCAGGTGTTGGTAGCTGCGGGAAAGGGGGTGAGCCGCCTAGGGGAACAAGGGCCACCCGCCTGAGAACCACCGTCCTGTCCTCAGCGGCTTGACCCAGGAGCCCGGCAGCGTCGGGCAGCTGACCCTGGATTGTACTAAGGGCGCTGTCGAGTGGCTGTACCCAGCCGGGGCGCTGCGCTTGACCCTGGACAGCCCCGATCCGGGCATGCGGCCCAGCATCGTCTGTCTGCGCCCAACGCGGCCCTTCGCTGGTGCCCAGGTCTTCGCTGAACGGATGGGCGGCAACCTAGAGTTGCTACTGGCCGAGGGCCCAGACCTGGCTGGCGGCCGCTGCATGCGATGGGGTCCCCGCGAGCGCCGGGCCCTTTTCCTGCAGGCTACACCACACCGCGACATCAGCCGCAGAGTTGCTGCCTTTCGTTTTGAGCTGCATGAGGACCAGCGTGCAGAAATGCCTCCCCAGGCCCAAGGTCCTGGTGTAGATGGTGAGTGACCAGACTGACTGAGGAGAAGTTTGGTGTCTGGAAGTGGCGTTCTAACCAAGCCTTGACACCCCGCTGCACAGAGGGTCCATCCATAGCTTGACAGAGACCATTCTGTTGGAGAGTGGCTTCCAGGTCATAGGGAGGTGGATTGGGAGTGCTTCGTCCTTTTCCTCTTCCCCAGGGTTCATTTTAGGGAAAGAGCAAGAGGGAGCAAGTGCTGGAGAGGCCAGCCTTGGGCCTCTGGTGTCTGGAGGGTTGGGGGAAGGGGTGTACTGGGGTAGAATCAAAGCCTATGGCCAGAGCTGTCCAGGGCTCCCTGGCCTGGTGGTGACCTTCCTCCCCTCCCCCAGCCCAGCCAACAAAAGTCCAGTGTGCCTCTTCGTCACCATGGAGACGCCTGCCCTGCCTCCCTGCAGGGCGCCAGGCCCAGTGCTTTGCTCTTCTGAATCTTGCAGCCTGACCCTGCAGGGGATGGCTCTCTCACTGTTCTGTCCTAGCTGGGGAACCCCAGAACCAGAGTCCACCAGACTGTCGTGCCACCCTAGCTGGGCTTGGGAGGCAGCTCTGAGAGGTCATAGAATGTTGTTTGGCATTGGTATGGGTTTACGAGATGGGTGTGCAAGAATGTGCGTGAGGCACCGAGGTGTCCGCCAGTAGGCATGTGCCTACAGGGTGCACCATGACTCCTGCTGTCTTCAGGCTGTACAGTTGCTGGGAGAAGGGTTTAACCACCAGTTCTGGAGCCTTTGCCTGCTGGGAGGAGCTGTGGGCTTGTGCTGAGAGAGCACAGGCCTGGCTGATGACCTGCCTTGCATGCTAGGTGCCTGCAGGCCCTGCAGTGATGCCGAGCTCCTTCTGGCTGCATGCACCAGTGACTTCGGTGAGTATTCCTGTTGTGGGGGAGCTTAGAGTCTGGCCCACATCCCCACATGCCCACCACTAGCCCCCGTGTCTCTTCACAGTGATACATGGAACCATCCATGGGGTCACCCATGACATGGAGCTGCAAGAATCAGTCATCACTGTGGTGGCCACCCGTGTCATCCGCCAGACACTGCCCCTGTTCCAGGAAGAGGGCTCCGAGGGCCTGGGCCAGACCTCCATTCGTACCCCGTTGCGCTGCGGTGTGCGTCCTGGCCCAGGCTCCTTTCTTTTCATGGGCTGGAGCCGATTTGGTGAAGCCTGGCTGGGCTGTGCTCCCCGCTTCCAAGAGTTCAGCCGTGTCTATACAGCTGCCCTTACAGCCCACCTCAACCCATGTGAGGTGGCACTGGACTGAGAGACCTGGGAGCAAGTCCCCACCAGATCTTCCGCTGGGAATGGGGTACTGGGGAGGGGTGGTAGGAAGGGTGTGGCTCAGACAGCATCCTGGTACCTGCAGTGAATTGATAGAATACTAAATAACTGGATGACACCAGCCACTGTAGACTTGGTCTTCTGTGACACACCCAGCTCTGCTCCGGCCTCCCTTTACTTGCTCTCCCCTCTGTTGCCCTCCTAGCCCTTCTTCGCCTGCCTGCCCTATTGACCCGGCTGACCAATGAGTCTGTTTTCCTCTAATCTAGGGTGCTCCTGGGGCTGAGTGCAGAAGTGCTGAAAATCTCAAGACTTGGGCTACTTGGGGTTTTTTTTTTTGTTTTGTTTTGTTTTTCGAGACAGGGTTTCTCTGTGGTTTTGGAGCCTGTCCTGGAACTAGCTCTTGTAGACCAGGCTGGTCTTGAACTCAGAGATCCGCCTGCCTCTGCCTCCCGAGTGCTGGGATTAAAGGCGTGCGCCACCACCGCCCGGCCTACTTGGGGTTTTTTAGGTGGCCTGGGGGGCAAGCAGACAGACATCACTTCCCGCTCTGCACGAGGTCCATTAGGGAGGAGTGCTGTAGTCTGGCGGTGTGCCATTCCCTTCCATGGTCGTTGTGAGCCATACAGTCATCCTTGGCCTGGTCCCGCCCTTGGGGAAGAATGAGCCCCTCTGTCCGGAGGCCCCTGCGACGTGCTGAGCATCCAGACATGGCAAAGCGCCTGCAGGGTGTGGGGTCTCCATTGCAGGATCCCGCTTGTTCGTTTCCGGCGGGATAAGTGCACAATGGGGTCTCTAAGGACTGCTTCCCGCCACTGGCCCCATTGTTGCCATCCCTGCCTTCCTCCTGGGCCTCTTTATTTTGTAAAGGGCTAGTGAGATCCTGGACAGACAAAGCCTGTGGCCTGAAAGCCTTAAGTGAGGTGTGCACTAGGTTTCTCAGGCTCCAAACAAGCACATTCCTGCCACTTCTCTCTCATGGCTCTGAGAAACTGCTTCAGCTCCAGTGCTGAGTGGAGTGGAGTGGGGGTCCAGAAATGGCTTTCTGTCCTTGCATGCCCTCCCTTTCAAGGCTTTCATCCATCATCAGTCCCAGTGGACTATTCATTCTTTGGTAGGAAACAGGCTGGGAGAGGGACAAGGCTGGGCAGGGACCAGACATATGGTTCCTTGCTCCAGACTGTGCCAGTTGAAGTTACCTGCTGGTGACACACCCTATATAGGCCCTGGAATGGCTACCTTGGAATGCTTATAGGCAGATAGCTTAAATCACACCTCTGTATTCTGGGGGTGGGCAGAGAGCGTGCCACCAGTACTTAGCCTGCCTACTTATGGAGTGGGAGGGGCGATGAGGGCAAGAGATCGCTCCTGGAGAGCAGGTGATGCCATTTTCTTCCACCATCTGCCTCAGAACTGGCTTCCTGCTACTTGCTCTCATTTCCCCAAACTCCATGAAGTGCTAAGGGCTTACCCTGGCACCTTTCCATCTGGGTGTAGGGGAAGACTGGGCCAGTGGCCTCATGTTTGCTCCAGGGATCAAATGATGAAGACCCCCAAAGTGGAAGCAGGGATGGGGGAGTGGTGTGTGGGAGCAGGTGGACTAAAATCACAGGAGCTAGTCTGGGAAAACCTGTGTGGACCAGAGGACTGGGGGGTGGGGGGCTCTGTGTGGGTGCCAGTGTCAGGTAGAGTTGCCAGTGTTTTTCTGGGCACTTTAGGCAGGAGCAGTAGACAAGAATAGCTGTGCTCAAGCAACCCTGTCTAGAATTCAGAGTGTGGGAGGGGGAGGGCCATGCTCCAGTTCTCCCAGTGGCCAGATTCTGAGCTGGGTAGAGCAGAGCCTCTTTCCACAGACTACGCATACTCCTGCTGTCTTGGGACACCTGTCCTCCAGATTGTTTTGGAGGAAAACACTGCACCTGGGGGACAGGGTGGTGGTCTTGGGCACGCTCAGTTTGGAAGTCATCACAGTCTCTACTAGAGATAGTTGAGGAGAATCAGGCCAGGACTGCATAGATCAAGGAGGAACTGACATTTACGGCCATTTGGCTTTAATGTGGGTGGTCGGGGTCCGACAGATTGACTCAAGGCTCTATCTGTTTCCATGCAGGGCTTTAATAGGAGTTACTCAACCCTTTATTTTTGAAGGAAGGAGATCTTCCGGGCTCCTGGGCTGTCTTTCACCCCAGGCTGGGCCAGCTGCCAGCACCCAGCCTCTCACATCCGGCCCCCTCCCTCCACACTCACTAGAGAGCCTACATCTGTCTGTATCTACCCGCCCCTCTTCTTCGACCCCAGAACACCCTCTATTTTCCTCCTAATTGTCGTCACTGTCGGAGTGAGTGGAAGGATGTCCTCAGTGGGTTGTTTATGGGTGTTTGGTAGGCTTTCGGAAAGCCTTGGTCAGCAGAATCCACAAGAGAATGACTTCCAGTTACAGTGGCCTTGGTTTTAACAAGAACTTCCAGAACAGTATGGCCTCGGGGATCCAGTGTTGTTCCCTTGCAACACTACAACTCCCAACATCCCTCTGGACTCCAGCGCAAGCAAGCGCGGGACACATTTCCCAGAAGCCTTTGCATCCTCTGTTAAAAGCAAGGACAAGCCACAAGTTTGCCCCTTCTTATCCCTTCCCTTTGTCCCTTCCTTTTACTTTTCCTAGTGTGTTTTCCCCTCCCATTAAAAGTGTACCACGTGGTACCGCCGCGTGTCTGTGTCTTTTCTAGCGTAACCCTCGTCTAACCCGCAGGAATTAAGAACAACATTTGGTGCCGCATCGACCAGGAGACCTCTCCGTCCGGTGCCCGAGGCTTTGCCTCTGGGTTTCACCGACAAGGTCTAGAGAACCGACAGCCTTCGCTCACCACCACCTGTTTCCACGGCCATTTCCACAGCTTCATCCTGATCCGTGAGTTACCCTGAGTTGGCTTCCTTCCCCCCGGGGCGTTCAAAGACTGTCCGGCCGGCTTTCTTTGCGCACCTCGGGCTAGGGCTAGGTTGCTAACCCGCCTCCCCCGGTTTTTTGCCCTCAGCCGAAACGCTCAGTCCGCGCACCCGGAGTTCGGTGCTCCGGGCTTTTTTCTCTTTTTTCTTCCTTTTTTCTAACTTTTTCCTGTCCACTTTCGGGCCGCTCCTTGTGGCACCTCCGGGCCCTGTGCCCTAAAGAGCTTAATCGCCTCCTCTCAGCCGGGACTTTCTCTCCCGTACGGTTGCTGGGTCGGGGCAGTTAAGAGTTAGCACGCCCCAAGAACGCCCGGGACACCAGCGCTCTTGGCTTGCCGTGTTCGCGGTAATTGTCTCCTCCCAGCCGGGGCCGGGGCTTTTCCTCCCCCCGTACGGTAGCTGGGTTCGGGCCAGTTACCTTTTGCGGACAGACTTCATTTCAGTCGTGGGCTCTGTAACCAACCCCCACATCTGGAAGGCTGGTACAATGCCATCCCTCCGGGGACCCTCTGCTCCCACCGCTGCTATGGATCCCGCGGACAAACCTCAACCCCCCTGCCTCCACACCCCCCCCCACCGCGCCTCGTGGGGGGGGGCCACTCGCTCTCGCTCCGCCCAGTTGAGCGACAGCGACAGCTCACCCATTACCGTTCCTTCTCCGGGCCAGCCTTGCCCCACTTCTCCCGCAACAGGTCGTGCGTGTCTTCCTTTTCTTCCCTGTCTCCTCTCCGCCACAGGCCACACAGGCAGCTTGGAGCGTCTCCTCCCTGTCCTACGCCTCCCCCTCGGTCTTCCAGGGCCCCTCTAGGCTCCCGCTGTCACTAACCACCACTCTCCCTTTGTTACACCTAAGGATATCAGGCTCCTAAAAGCTACAGCAGCCTCCTGTCAGATCTGCCAAAAGTCAGATCCCAGGACCAAATATTCACTTAACCGTTTGTCTCCACAGCTTAAGATAATCCTTCATACACGGTGACCCAAACTGGACCCTGTACTCTTAAGTTCCAAAGGACGCCGGATTCAGCCCCCCTACTACAGTCTAAGGACAACAATGGTCCCGATCCATCGCTGTGTTAACACACCCTCCCTTCTTTAAATTCATAAATAACCGTCTAGCTGTCGTTACAGGTACCCCCATCAAATACGAAGGCAAGTGGTAAGCAGATTCTCCTCTACAAAGCTCTTTTACGTAACAGGCCAGCCGCTGACTGCAGCAGTGGCCCCTGAAATGTTAAGAGATGTATGGTTAGAATCTATTTCTTTTAAGACAGTTTCCTTAAGCTCCGGGATGCCAGCCCAACGGATCAAACACAAAGGAATAAGTATCACTTAATTTTTTTTATCATTTCTTAACCCTGGACATCCTAAGACCCTCTCCCCCCCTTCACCCCAGCTCCCCAAAAATTCCCCCCCCTTCTTTTAATTTTTTTTCTTCTACTAATGCAACTTTTGCCTTCCAGCATCTTAATGATGACCCAGCTACTCAGGAAAAGCCACACAGATTTCTTCAATCAGCCGCCTCAGACGACAGCCAGGACTTCAAACATCAGTGACTGACTACACCAGCCAGCAACTTTGGACATCATTGACCAACTACACCAGCCAGCAACCCTGGACATGGACATCAGTGACCAACTACACCAGCGACCGCAAACGCCAATGGGACATTGCCAAGATAATCGGACATTCCCTGGACCCCTCAATGCCCAAAGTCAGCAGGAAGCAGCCATGAGAGACTGGACTATGCCCCCATTCCCTACCCTTTAAGGTCCCCCAATTTTTTTTAATCAAACCAAAAGGGTGAAATGTTGTTCCCTTGCAACACTACAACTCCCAACATCCCTCTGGACTCCAGCGCAAGCAAGCGCGGGACACATTTCCCAGAAGCCTTTGCATCCTCTGTTAAAAGCAAGGACAAGCCACAAGTTCGCCCCTTCTTATCCCTTCCCTTTGTCCCTTCCTTTTACTTTTCCTAGTGTGTTTTCCCCTCCCATTAAAAAGTGTACCACGTGGTACCGCCGCGTGTCTGTGTCTTTTCTAGCGTAACCCTCGTCTAACCCGCAGGAATTAAGAACAACCCGCAGAAATTAAGAACAACATCCAGACCAGAGATTCCATATAGTTGTCTGCAGGGTAGACCCAGAGGCTAGCCGCTGTAGATCCTGGACCTTAGATCCACGAGGGGCAAACTCTCTACGGGTCGCCTATCGCCTGGGCCATTGGGACTCGATTACCTTCACCCGGAACCCACGGGAGGGGCCACGCCCGGTTGGGCGGGGAAGAATGAGTGACGGACGGAACGGGACGGACGGTCCCCTTCCACTTCCGGTGTTTGAAACTGGCTTCTACTTAGATTTAAAGCAATCGGTTAGGCGCCGAGCAGAGAGACTACGGCTCAAGCCGGCGGTAACCGGGAGGGCAGCCGCCTCCCCTGGCTGGGGGGGCGAGAGGGGGGCTTGGGAGGGACGGATCTGAATTGCCTGTCTCTCAACCATGGATCACGACAACCCGGCCGAGGCGTTGACTGCGGTGCGAGAGAGGCGGCCGAGTTTGCTGGAGCTGTTGCAAGTGGCGACAGGCTCCGGGTTGGTTGCCTACACCGTGTGGGCGCTGCTTCTGCAGCCGGGCTTCCGCCGCGTGCCTCTAAAACTTCAGGTGCGACGCGGGACCAAAATTAGTGCGAGATGAATGGGCGGGATTAAGGCTACTGTAGGTGGCTTGTCAAGATGGGCGGGACCAATTACGGTGAGGGACCATATAGATACACGGAGGTGTGGAACTAATATTATGTTGCAGGGCCTGGGCCTGTCGTCATGACCAAGGGTATATAAATGAAGCTAGGATTGACTTACTGACGGGTTATGGGCAGTGTGTGCCAGGAGGGTGGGTGGGGCGGCACTGGGTGTGGCAGATAGCTAAGGAAGGAAAGCTAGTAGGCACGCAAAGGTCTTCAACTTGGTGCTTCAGTCTGTGCGACTGTAGCCTCAGACCCACCAATTCCTTTTTCAGGTGCCCTACATTGGTGCGAGTGCCCGACAGGTTGAGCACGTGCTGTCGCTGTTACGAGGCCGCCCTGGAAAAATGGTGGATCTAGGCTCTGGTGATGGCAGGATCGTAAGGCCTGTGTGTCTATTCGTTGTCCCTCCCATAGTGGCCCCTTCCGTACATCCAGGTCCCACACTCTTGGCTCTCATAGGTGCTGGCGGCTCACCAATGTGGTCTCCGTCCAGCTGTGGGTTATGAGCTGAACCCGTGGCTTGTGGGACTTGCACGACTGCATGCCTGGAGGGCTGGTTGTTCTGGGAGTGTCTGCTACCATCGGAAGGATCTCTGGAAGGTAACCTATCAAACTTCATTTTCTTTTTTTTTTTTAATTTTATTTTCTTTTTTTCTGAGACACAGTCTCTAATCCAGGCTTATCTCAAACTCACTATGTATAGCCCAGGATAACATTGAACTCCTGCCTCTACCTCCTGAGTGCTAGGATTACAGGCCTGCACCATCAGACCTAGTTTATCCGGGGCTTTGTATATGTTTGGCAAGCACTCTACCGACTGAGTCACATTCCTAGCTCCAATACCTTTATCTCCCAGATTTCATGCTCTGAGTGCTATCATACTGATACCTGGGTGGGTTGGAGGCCAGAGCTCTGTGACCCCATGCCTTCCAGCTTCTATCTTTGTTTCCCATAGGTGAGCCTCAGAGACTGTCACAATGTGTCTGTGTTCCTGGCCCCCAGTGTGGTAGGTCTTGGGTCTGCTGTCCTGCTGGGAGGTCAGGGGGCTACAGTCTTGGCTCTTGGCTGTTCTGATGCCTGGAGTAGGTTCTGGGCCTACATGGATGGGGCAGCTTTTTCTTACCTGCTCTTGTGCCCCCCTCCCTCCTGTTCTTATAGCTCCCACTGCTGGAGGATAAGCTGCAAAAAGAGCTACCTGCAGGGGCCCGTGTGGTATCTGGACGTTTCCCCCTTCCCACCTGGCAGCCTGTAGCTGTGGTGGGTGAGGGCGTGGACAGAGTCTGGGCCTATGATGTCCATGGTGCTGGGCCAGCTGTGTCTTCTTGTGGGGTGCCCATCAAGGCCATACCAGAGTCCAGTTCTACCTCCCTTCCTAGGACTTTAGTTTGACAGGCTGGTTGACTGGATACAATAAAGACTCTGTGGGTTCAATCCTGACTTATCACTCCATGGGATAGGGTTTGCAGCAGATGCCATGTTGGCTGTGAAGAGGTTTGATTTGTGCTGCCTCTGGGAGACTAGCTAGCTAGTGACTCTGGGTCCTTGGGCGTCGGGGCCTAGAGGAAGGCATAGCTTCTACTCCCTGGGGATCTCCTGTCTTCACCAGCTTCCTCAGTCTCTGGATTTCCTGCTTGTACCTGATTGGGATGATCAGACCAATCACTTGTGTGGCCATGGGTTCTTTCCCTTCCACCTAGACCAGGGCCCTGGGTCATACCAGCTTACCTGCCCAAGTGCTGGTCCACATACTCCTGTAACTCAGAAAGCTGCTGTTCCGCCATGGTGGCCCGGACCATGAGCTGTGCCCGCTCTCGTTCTAGTTCTACCTGGTGGAGGAATGAGCCATGAGCCGGGGCAGGGTGTAGGGAGGGGTCCCCATCCTTCCTTGCCTACTACCTGGGTGTCCTGGGAGAAGTCCCGCAACTTCTGCTGGATTTGGGACCAGGATGTAGTATCGCGGGCCCTGTGAAGGGAGGAAGGCAGGAGGAGCAGTTTCCAAGGTAGGCATAATACGTGCTGTGTGGTGTTAGGACATTATAGCACTACCTGGGGCCCTGGAACATCAGTACCAACAGAACGCTCTGGCCGGCTCAGTGACTCCAGTCTACTAGGTGCCTCCCCCAGTCCCTGGGAGAGGATGTCTCAAGAGATTATAGAGCTGGTATAGAAGCCCAAATCCAGGGCTGGACATGTCATCAGACTTTGCTTCCACCAAACCCAAGTTTCACCTATCAGAGGCTTAACAAAGTAGCCATCCAATTTTCCTATGATTACCAGTGTCCCCCATACAAACAGAGTCCAAGGGATAGGAGAATCCCAGCCAGCAGCAAGGGTTGGCAGAATCAGTGAAGGATGTGCAGCTTCTGGCTCTGTCTGCCTGACTCCTAGACCTCCCTCCCATATACCAACAGGAGGGCACTCACAGTGGCTGTGACCTTCCTTCCTTAGAAGTTGCACCAGGTCCTTTCTCAGGGCACAGTAGCAGTGTCCTGTATCGGCCATACTGTAAAAGCACATGGTGGGGTCCCTTGATTGACTGAACAAAACCAACTGCTCCAAAGGCTCTGAGCTTGGGATGAGGCCTGGGGGGAGTGCAGGGGCTCTGGACTTCAAGGCAGTTTCAGGCAGCAGGGACAGGGCACCTGGGCCCCAGCCTTACCTCATCCTCCCTTTGGTGGCTGAGTTCAGTGGCCCAGTGCATGGATGATGGCTCCAGGTTGATGGCTCTTGCAAAAGTAGCCCTGGGAGTACCACGTGCCCTGTTGGGATCTATGTGCGCCTAGGACTGCTTCTGTGGCATGCTGAGCCACAGTGCAGCTCTTATGGGGCCACCTCACCCCGGGTGCCTAGGACAGGGTGGAGCCCACCTGCAGGTGGATAGTAGCAGCTCCTGCCTCCGGCTCAGATCCACCAGGCGCTTGCGGTAGGTCCGGGCCGCTTGGGCCAGCTGTTGTTCTCTGCTCCGGTGTGCGGCCCGAATGTCCTGCAGAGTGGCCTCCAGGAACGTCTGAAGGGCTGCCTGACCTGTACTGTTGGTGGTCTCCTGGAGGAGATTGGATAGGATGGAGCTAGGGTTGGGGCTCGCTTTGGATTAGGTTAGGCAGTCAAACTGTAGGAGCTGGGCTTGAGTTGGGTAGGCTGGCACTTGACTGGACTCAACCTCACCTCCTAACCCAGCTGACTGTGCAAGGACCTGGCACCACAAAGTTTCCCATAACTGCCTGCCCAGAACGCCCAGGCCAGGCTCACATTCCTCAAGACTCAGAGGCCATTCCGACTGCCACAGAACCTGACAAAGTGCTCACCACTGTCTCTTTGGCATAGCGCTGCAGCCGGACAGCATACTCCTCATTCAACTTCTTCAGCTGCAATTGCAGCTGAGCATTCTCAGCTTCAGCCTGCCGGAGCTGATCCTGACAGGTTGACAGCACCTGGGACATACAAAGGGCTCTGGCTCTGTTTGTAGGACACCCTCCTGCTAGATCTTGAGGTTCATAGGGTGGGCAAAAAACCCTCACCATTGCTTGGGCAGCCAGCCGCTGATCAGCTGCCCTGGCTTCCTCTTGGGCTCTCTGCAACTGCCAGCCTAGGACTGCCCTGTGGACACAGTACAGGCACAGCTAGGCCAGGGCTTGTGACCTTGTAGGCCACTGGGCACTGCTTGTTCTAGGCGAGGTGAAACTCACACTCGTGTCTCCAGTGCCTGCTGTCTGACTCTGTGATGCTCCAGGACCAAGTTCAACTCTCCTTGCAGCTTCTGCTGGTGAACAAAAGTTGGCTGTGTGAGAGACAGCAAACTCTGGAACCCCCTACTCCTCCACCCCACCCCCACCCCCTGTGCTAGGTGGCTGTGTACTCACATTGCTCAGGGTCTCAGGCTCAGAGAGTCTGTCTTGCTTGAGCTGCACCTTTATGGTTAGAAGGTAGAAGGGAAGCAAGGGGAGGGGAGGGAAGGGGCAGCAGATACTTGTTTTACTGCCCCTGTGGAAGTGCCCAGCCCAGCTCTCTACGTGCTCATGGTGATCTGGACTCTGTTGTAGGTGACACATTCAGGCCTGGGCTTCTCCACTGACCTCTTGTGGTGGCACCTTGTGTTGCCCCGGACTGGCTGCTGGTTGGACTCCATGTCCCCGGCAGTCACCATTTCCATGCAGTTCTAGCTCTAGCACCCGACTTTCCAGTCGAAGAACCTGTGGACATCAAGGGTGAGCAGGGCTATTTGCTGGACCACTGCAGGAGGCTGGTATTCATGTAGGAGCATATGCACAGGGCCAGGTAAAAGCCCACAAAGTGCATGTTTATTCCCGGGCACCTGAATCCCTTAGTGGTACTTGTCCTGGGGGCACACTCTGTTCCTGGATGTGCACTCTGTTCCTGGATGCACCTAGGCTGACACACAGAGCTTGCTTGGCTACTCACTTCCCTCTTCAGCTCGAAGACTTCAGCTTCATGCTGCTCACGAAGGCGATGGGTTGCAATCTGAAGGTCAACCAGCTCCTTGGAAATCTGTGGGTAACCAGGGCGAGGGATGCTGCCAGTGGCTTTGTGGGCTCCCTGTTCCTACAGAACCCCACAGCCCCACATTTACCTGCAACAGCTGCTGCTCACTTGGCTCTGGATCTGTCTGATACTCTCCCTCCAGGCCGGTAGCCCAGGCGGGCTGTCCAGAAACTCTTGGCAGCCAATCCTCAGTTCCTGGAACAACCTGGGAAGGCACCCCCCCACACACACATTTAGGTGGGTCTCCAGCCCGGGCTGTAGACCCCACCCTTATAGAAGCATGACGTTCCTCTTGAACAAGGTCAGCTCCTTCCCTGGGCAGGAACAGACACAAGATCCAGGTACTTCTTCCCTTCTGGTCTGTGAAGGAAAGGAAGGACCCCAAGGCAACATCCGTGTCCTGGAAAGACTCACGTTCTCTGTGACTTGAAGTGGGGCACCTGGCCTGGGGCCTGAGGCTGCCACATACTCCATAGTGGAGAGGAATCCTGGCTAGGGATCTGTCTGATTGTGGCCTGCTTCCCGGCTGTTGCTGTGAGTGTTGCCAAGGCCTCTGTTGATCTTAGAGACTACCCATTCTGCCTACAAGGAAGGGCAAGGCCGTTCAGTGCTCACGAAGAGGGGAGTGCTCAACTCCTTGCACCTTCCACTCCTTCATGACGGCCCCATGCCATCTGGGAAATACAGAAAGGCAATCAGTTTATTTCAGGCCAGTTGGATCCAGAAGTGCAAGACGACGCCAAGCCTGTACTGCAATTGTGGGCACTATTTGTCTTTATGTGGGATGTTCTGACCTCCTGCAGGGATTTGTAACTCAGACTCTTAACTAGCTTCCTGTGTCAGCAGAACTCACACCAGCAGGTGAACAAACTGGACACACCCGTCTATCAGAGAGAAGCAGACATAATCAGGGGCAGTAGACCGCACGAACTAGCTCAACCTGGGCACCAGGAAGGATAAGTTGGAAGAGGTGCCCTGTATTGATGCTGGGTTGGAGCACGCTCACCATCCCACACTGTGCTCTATCGGTGCATTCTCTATTGCGCATGCGCAATTCCTGCAGTCGTTTGTCAGGTCTCAGCAGCACTCAGGGTTGCGGCCGGAGAGAGGGTGGGCAGCGGCCACGATCTGTCAGGGACGCTAGACTGGCGGCTTATGTGTGGGTGAGAAGGGAATGAGGTCGACTCAGACCTTGGGGTCTCACTGTAACTGAGAGAGGCGGGGCCTGTGAAGGAAGGCAGAACCAGGGGCGGAGCTAAGAGAAGCCGCATTGCTGTGTAACTTTTGGGGGAAGGTGAAGTTGGTACAAGGGGCGCCGGCCCCTGAGTTTTGGATCTGAAGTGAGTCCTCTAAGAAGATCTTGGGCAGCGGAGCAACTCTTTCTTTGTACCCCCAGTGTGTGTGTGTCTGACCCACCTCGTACAGCTCAGGAAAAGGGATTCACTAGACTGGGTTGCCTCTTCTGGAGAAGGTGTGGACTGGCTGAAGTCTGCGACCATGAAGGTCAAAGTCATCCCGGTACTTGAAGACAACTACATGTACCTGATCATTGAGGAGCACACACGGGAGGCAGTGGCTGTGGATGTGGCTGTGCCCAAGAGGGTGAGGACCGACAAAGGATGCCATCAAGGGATTCCCTGCCACTCTGGTTGGAACAGACCCGACCGGACCCCTATAGTTTTATGTCATTTGATGTATTATCTTTGGGCTCTCCTAAAGTTACAGCTACCTTTGATTTCCTGGTGCTCCAGTTCTTGTAATTGTCTGCCGATATTTCCCCTAACCCTTGCTGCTCTGAGTCCTGGGCCTGCCTGTAGAACTAAGCCCTGAAACTAGTGTCCCAGTATGGGATGGGTGGCCCACAGCACTACACCTCCATCCTTTCCAGCTGCTGGAGATTGCAGGCCGCGAGGGGGTGTCTCTGACCACGGTGCTGACCACCCATCATCACTGGTGAGTAGAAGGTATGTGCGCAGGCCTAAGGCATGTTCCTTCCCTAGCACCCCGACTTGACCAGGCCCCTGCACTTTCACAGGGACCACACACGTGGAAATGCAGAGCTGGTGCACCTGCAGCCAGGACTGGCGGTCATGGGAGCAGATGAGCGCATCTGTGCACTAACCCGCAGGCTGGCACATGGGGAGGAGTTTCAGGTAAGTATGCACCCAGAGGGGGTGGGGAGGGTCCTGACCTGGGCCTGCCTACCAGTCCTCACAGGTCCAATGCCTCACCATCGCAGTTTGGGGCCATCCACATGCGATGCCTCTTGACGCCAGGCCACACCTCTGGCCACATGTGCTACTTCCTGTGGGAGGATGAATGCCTGGACCCACCAGCCCTCTTCTCTGGTACCTTGCAGCCTGGACTCACCCACTTATGCAATTCCGCTGTGCCCTCCCTACCCCTTCTGACCCTCTTTCCTCCCTAGGGGATGCTCTGTCAGTGGCAGGCTGTGGCTGGCATCTGGAGGACACTGCCCAGCAGATGTACCAGAGCTTGACCAAGACCCTAGGCACCCTACCACCCCAGACGGTGAGAGAGCCTTCTGTGGGGTTCACATGCTTGGTACTGGAGTTTCCCCTGGTACAACCTATGCTTCTATGCCTGTCCTGCTTTGGTAAAGTTGATATGGATGCTAGGTTAGGGGTGCGTGCCTGGCCCTCCCTCGGTTTGGAGCTATCTATGTTCACTGAGCTCCCTCTTCTTACAGAAGGTGTTCTGTGGTCATGAGCATACGCTGAGCAATCTTGAGTTTGCGCAGAAGGTGGAGCCCTGCAACAACCATGTGCGAGCCAAGCTGTCCTGGGCCCAGGTGCATCCATTTCTGGCTCCAAAACAGGGGTGGGGGTGGTAGTCTTTCTGAAGTTTGGGGGAAGTCGTGGAGAGTCAGAATGACACCTCTGCTGGCTCCAGCTGGCTGGAGACCTGTCACCTACCCTAGTCTCCCTGTGGCTGGTCAGCTGTTGGCCCAGCGGTGACCAGGGGCCTGTGCTCTTTGCAGAAGAGGGACGATGATGACATACCTACCGTGCCTTCGACACTGGGCGAGGAGCTCTTGTACAACCCTTTCCTGAGGGTGACGTAAGTATGGCTGTGCCCTGGGCTTTTCTGTGGTGGGGCCTGAGCCATACCAGTGGGTGTGGCAGCCTCAAGAGGCTATGCACACTGCCAGCTGGAGTCTCCCCATGGAGTAGTCTCAGGACTAGCCTGGCATCCTTGGGGCCTCTTTGGCAGTCATTTGGGTAGTTAGTAGTATCTGGGGACTATTTATTGAGCTGAATGTCCCTGGCACCAGGGAAGGGCATTTGTTAAGGGCCCTCTTCCATCCACTGCCCTTCTGGGCCCCACCCCTATGGGCAGCTGGCCAGCCCCACAATTCCCTAACATACTCTTCCCTGCAGAGAGGATCCAGTTCGTGAGTTCACAGGCCAGGTGGCACCAGCCCAGGTCCTGGAGGTGCTCTGCAGGGAGCGAGCACGCTTCCAGCTCGCTCTGGAGCCACCACAGCCCCAGGTTCGGGCACTCCTGGCCTTGCAGTGGGGACTTCTGAGTACACCCCAGGAAAAATGAGCCCTGGGTGGAGCCTGCTTGTCTCCATACCCCTTCCCCTGACCTCAGGCTGACTGGAACCCTGGCCTCCAGAACATTCCTCTGAGGCCCTGCCACCTTGCTCTGAAGAACCAACAAATGGTGCTTTCCTTCTCTCTACCGCTCATGGGGCCACACATCGGAATCTCTGAAGGGGCTGTTGTGGGCCCTGAGACATACATGTCCCGGGGACCGAGAAGGGTGAATAAAACTTGGCAAGGCCCAGTGTGGTGCCAGACACACAGCAGATGCTTCCACAGTTGTTTATTAGTGGTGAGGCTGGGTGAGAGCCAAGCTCAGTGAGACTCAACTACGGTTCTCACGGCCATACAGGCTTGGTGCTGACAGACTGTCCAGACAGCAAGGCCCTGGCGAACAGGCAGGTGCCCCACTAGGTTCCGGTTTGACACCCGCCCTATACACTGTAGCTTCAGGGGTTAGCCACAAAAAGGAAACCTCTCGCCGGGCGGTGGTGGCGCACGCCTTTAATCCCAGCACTCGGGAGGCAGAGGCAGGCGGATCTCTGTGAGTTCGAGACCAGCCTGGTCTACAAGAGCTAGTTCCAGGACAGGCTCCAAAACCACAGAGAAACCCTGTCTCGAAAAAACCAAAAAAAAAAAAAAAAAAAAAGGAAACCTCTCATATGCAGGCTACTATAGCCAGAGGACAGGGCAGGGAATATGCCCATGGCCCTGAGCCAGCAGAAGAGATTCTGGAACCTCATTGAACCTTTAGCCTCCTCGGCTCCCCGATCCTGCCTGCAGTCCCTCTCTGCAGAGCTCAGTGTGGAGTGGGAAGTGCACGGGCCATAGGCAACACTACCAACCAGAGGCACGCAGGTCATGTGCTCAAGGACCCCTGTGCAGCACAGAATCCAATACATCCTTGTAGCTCTCCTCGAGTTCTGAAGCTCTCTGGTGTCTTCTCTGTTGCTGATACCCACGTGGTCTCTGGGAGTCTTAGAGTTGGCCCCTGGGGCTCACACTCTCGAGGCCTGCTACCACCTGATGCTGAAGCCTGAGTTGGTCTTCTCCACGGCGTGGTATTGCGTGTGCAGCAAGCGGCTGGCCTGATCAGAGCCCTCACCTTGCAGCCAATGCTGGTACAGCTCCTGGACCCCAGGGGCATCTTCGGGTGCCTCATTCCTCACCATGCTGTACAGTCTTTCCACTTGCTCAAGGAGCTCCCTGCCTTGCATATCTGGAGCCTTAAGCTGGCCCCCTCCATTCAAGCAGCCTGGAGCAGAGTACAGGGCATGGTGGTGGAAAGTCAGGGTGAGCTCCCTGACCCCAGGTGTCCTGTCCAACCCCTTCCACCTCCCACTGGTGGCAGGCTGCTGTGCTATGCTATGAGGAACTACCTGAAGGGCAGGCCATGACTTCCACATAATGGTAGGGACAGCGGCCTCGTTTCAGTTTCTGCACAAGGTTCTGGATGTTGCGGAAGCCGTAGGCCACAGCAAATCGCAACAGGACCTGGCCTTCCCTCTTCAGGGTCACCTCCTGGAAGTCCTTGTTCCTGAAAGTGTAGGAGCGGGCTTGGGAAACCTCACATTGCCATGCAAACCTGTCCCTGTCCAGGTGCAGAAGTCTTCTGGGATTCAGCACACTACCATATGGCTCTGCCCTCTTCTGCTTGCAGGCAGGGAAGGGATGATGGAGAAGGGGATACAGCTTGTATCCCTGGGCCCACCAGGTAACCTCACCCCAACCTTGATCTCCCTAACTAGCACAGGGCAGCCATGAAGCCCAGCAAGGAATGACAGCCCAGCCCCAGGGGCTGTCCCCACACCAGGCTCCTGCTGGTCCTTGCATATATCGCCCAGGCTCAGGACCACTACTGAGGAGACTGAGGCGAGTGCTCACGCCTCACGCTCATAAGAGGGGGCCCACTTGTGCGAAGGGATCCAGGGGTCTTTCCCCAGGCTCACTTCAGTGCCTGCCCTGCTAACCTCATGGGCTGGTAGGTAACTTCCGTCACATGGATTCCATAGAGCTCTTGGGCCGCGTGCCGGAACACATGCTCCAGGTAGCCTCCTGAGCCGCCACCTCGATGGCTGGTGGGCTCCTCAGCAGACACACTACTGGTTCTGGGAGAGGGGCGGGTCAGTGCAGGAGGCTGGGGCTCAATACAGCTGAAGTCCCTTGTAGTCAGACCTTAAGAACTGTTCTTATGGTGGCCCTGGGAAGCTCAGATGGCTTCGAGAGCAGGCTCTGCTTTGACACTCTAACTCAGCCACTCTTGGGCCCCAGCCAGGCAGCCTGGGTAGAAAGGAGGGGACGAGACACTGCCCCACCCCACAGGCAGCATCTGATCCCAAATAAAGGTTCTTAGTTCCCACCACCAACTCACAAGCCATCCAGGGGCACAGGCTCCAGCTCCACGAGTGAGACGCCTTCTTCCTCCAGTAGCCTAAAGACTTCTCCTGCAGAGGACACAGCTCATGCTCTAGTTGGTCTCAGAATGCCAAGCTGTCTGTGTCCCCAGAGGGACACTCACGCCAGCTTGTGTTGGGATGGCGAGTCCAGTCAGCCTCTTCAGACCCATTGGAAGGCATTCCTGCCTGGAGCATTGCAAAGAGAGCCGGGGAGACCTTGCCTGCCCTCAAGACTCATTTCTGAACTAGCAAGGATGCGATACTGGGGTTCCATTGATGAAAGAACCCTGTTGTCTACTGGACTCCAGTGCTTGGCTTGAGGGGAGCCCTGAGACTGCAGAGGCAGAGATCTGCAGGGTGGCTGTACCTGTTGTAAGGACACAGTCCACATCACGGGTCTGGTACTCCTGGTTGAAGAAGTCAGGTCTGGATGCTTCTAGCTTTTTGTCATAGCAGGGCATCACAGTCACATGGTAGATCTTGTCTGGAGTCAGATGCTACAGAAAGAGCACCAAAAGCTTCAGTCCCATCTGAACCAAGCTCGGAAGTGGCCACCCTGTGACTAGGTCATACATTCCCTCCTGCTTCTGTCCACGGTCACCCTGTGACCAGGCCATACATTATCTCCTGCTTCTGTCCCTACCAGCCAGTGGCAGCAGAGGAGATAGGCTCTCACTGCCTTTGAAAGAATGGACAGGTCACAGTGGAAACAACACAGACTCGAGGGAAATGTGGCCATGCACACGCAGAGGGAACGCACGGGGTTGATGTTAGTGCTCATGGTTTCAGGCACAATGGAAGCCACCTCCTTTCCTCATCCTCCATCAGTGGGTCTCTTCAGGCTGGGTCCCGTGACTCACTGGAATGACCTCAGGTGAGATCTGATTTGCTCACCCAGCAGCCTGTGGACTGTGCTTCTAGCCCTTGGTCCCCTGCTCCCTAAACGGGGAGTCATGTGAGAAGTGCCTTCATATCAGAAGTGGGGACCCTGATGCCTGACAAGCTGAGCGAGACTGATATGGGGGCCAAGCTTACTCCACTGGCAGCTACCACTAGGTTTCAGTCACCTCGACACGGCCAGAGGTGCCATGGCCACAGGCAAAGGATCACTGGCCAGCCAGCAGTCCATCTCTCACTCCTGTGTCACAGCTGGCTGCTACTCATTATGTTGCCTGGGGACGCCCAGTCCTCTTACCTGTTGCTGGGCAAAGAAGTCCTTGACCAAGGAGCCCATCACCTGCTGTGGGGACCGGGCTGTGCTGATGTAGGGGAGGATAAAGTTGCCATGTGTCTTCTCAGCATAGCAGATCCAGCCTGAGGAAAAGGGAACAAATAGGTCTGGGGTGTGCATGGGGGAGGCCTGGGGGTGGTTCACAAACGGCTCTTCTCCTCTTGGCAGTGACATGACATTCTGGGGGTGGACCGATTCATACAAGAAATTACTGTGGCATCAAAACATTCCTCCCGTCATCCTTGTCACAAGGAAGGCTGGCATCTAGGTGATCACCAATGGGAACTGGTGACTGCAGGTGATGTCCTGGCCTTAGGTACCTCCTAGGTACTGACATTTCCACCCTTCTCCAGATAACCCCTCCCCATCACTCCCATTTTCCTTGACAAGCTGTCAGTCTATCAAGTCCTAACTTGGTGATCTGGATATACCTGGGCAAGCAGAAGCCAGCATGGGCAGGGCCTCTTTGGAGTTCTCTTGCCCCCGGAACCGCCGCACAAACTCTCTCTGGCTCTCCAAGAGGCTGAAGTTCCTAGCGAAGGTGGTATCGAAGACGAAGTGTACCCCTGCAAGGCGATGGAAGGTGAACATGCGCTTTAGCCTTAACCATGGTGAAAACTAGCATCTGACACCTGTGTCCTAAGTGGAGCAGCACTGTAGACCACAGGCCAAGGCAGGGCTCTGCCCCAGTGGTGCCATAGCATGTCATCTCTATGGGGACACTAGGAAGCACTGTTTTACCAGGCACAGCATCTGCTGTTTAAATGACCCAAGAGCTGTCCAGTGGCCCCACCACTGTCCCCTATACTGAATTCCTAAAGAACATACTCTCCTTTGCAACATCCTGAATGTGTTTGTCTTTCATTCCTGGATGCTTTCGCCTCCTCTGGTCTAACTTATGGTGCATACAGACATCTCTGCCTTATCCATTGGCCTTCTGACAACCACATCCCTCAGGGCTGGGGCCACCTGTATGGCCATATGCACCCCTGCATGGACTGTGCAGATGTGTTTCATCAGCCGCTCCATCACTGTGAGATGTGTAGACTTCTGCCTGCCCGCCCTAAGCCAGAAGCTGAAGCTCCTTGAGGACCCCAGTGGAAGACTGTGCTCCTGGCTCTTCAGTCCTCCCTGCGACTGGGAACTGTCCTGGGTGATGAGGGACTGAATGCTCTTCTCTTCTCAGAACCACCTACCCCCACGCTGGCTTTTCTTAGGACCTTGGGGACCACAGCAAGTGTCAGGCCTCATCATACACATGTGTCACACAAGAGCATAGGTGTCCCCTGAGAGACTCCTGGTCACGGTGGACAATAATTTGCTCCAAACAGACAGGAGCAGCATTCTGGAGAGGTGGCACCATGAATGTCCATGCCCAGTCCCTCCACTTCCCCAGGATGGCCTGCTGGGTCACTCTGGTACTCGGACCCTGATAGCAGGGGGCTTTCTAAACACCCATGTCCTCTTCCACCCCAACTCCTGGCACAGAGGTCAGCTAAAGCTGACC